TAAAAAAATAAATAAATTTAGATTGTTCTGGTTACATATACCTGTAATTATACTACAAATAAATGAAATAATTAATATAGGAGAGAATGGATAAAAAAAAAAAGAGAGACATAACAGGACCAGAGTTCTGTAATTCTGGTTATATTTGAGAAGGTTGGCAAGATCAGAAAGTAGTCAGCCAGAAACATCCCAATTAATGCTCACATCTGTCTTCTTCAGTATTTGGGGAGAATCTAAGAAATTAATACAAGGCAAAGAGGCATCAGAGATTCACTAGGGTGCGCAGTACAGACTGCCGACATCCGAGATCGCTCTGCCTTCGAGGAACATGTTGAGCAACTTGCTCTTTGTAACCCTTGTTTGCGCATCTGCAAATGGGAATGATAATAACAAAGAAGAATAATAACAGACTTAACTAATCAGCTGGTGAATCGGTGAATGTGAAGTACATGGCACAGACCTAAACACAGCTAGAGCGCACTGATGTCCTAGGGCAAGAAAACAATCCAAAGAACACTGATAAGGAAGAAAGGGGAAATAAAGGTAATGAAGGAAGGAAAGGGAGAAACGAAGGGAAGAAAAGAAGAAATAGGTTTATAAATACTGTTTAATATTATGTATCATTATTTATACAGAGAGAGACAGAGAACAGGAGCAGCAGACTGCCAACTGCATGGGGATGGGTTTAGTATCTCTCTGTCCAGGACACCAGCCATTACCTTTATCCCTATTTGTTCATGGTCCCCTGCTTTTCTGTCAGTGGGTGAAGGACGTCCAGAAGCCAGGAAGATTCCAGTCAGTTCTGTGTCTTAGGCAAAAAGCAAAAAAGAAAAACCTTTTAAAAATCAACTGCAGAGACCGTCACTGTCTTGTTGTATTCCTGATGCCATGACAAACACAGGAAGAAAAGCAGGTTCCTAGGAGGGGTTTCTCTTAGCTCAGACTTCCAGTTGCCATTCCAGCAGGGAGGGGACATCACAGTGTCTAGTGTCTCATGGCATCTGCAGTCTGAAGAATGTGCATGCCAGGGCCTGCCTGCCTCTCTGTCTCTCTGTCTCTCTGTCTCTCTGTCTCTCTCTCTCTTGTTTTGTTCAATCTGAGGTGCAAGCTAGGAAATAGTTCATATAGTTCATAGTTCAGCCCACTTTCAGGGTGGGGCTTCACACCTCAAGCAACCCAGTTAAGAGCATCCCTGGCAGGCATGTTCAGAGGCCCATCTCTCGGCTGATCCTAACTTTGGTAGAGTTGACAGTTCACACCAACCCTCACGCTCACCCAGTGATACTCCATTTCAGTTGGTTGAATTATTGAAACAATTAAAAAAAATAAACTATTAAAATTTAAATTAAAATAAAAACATTCTTCCTCAGGAAAAAAGCGTAGTTCTCAGACTGTGGTCAACTGTGGAAGGGGAGTTGAAAGTTAGTCATTCTCCTCTCAGGACAAGAAACAGAAAGAGAAGAGGGGAGAGACAAGAAATAGAGAGGGAAGGAGAAAAAGAAAGAGAGGGAAAGAAGAAAAGAAAGACAGAAGCTACCTGACAGGGTGGGAAGGCTGGGGTTGATAGTGCTACCAGGGTTTGTCAAACTGGGCGAGCTCCATTCACGAGGCTTAAGCTCTCAGCTCTGTGGCTTGAGCCACCCTGCACTTCTCCCTTCCACAAGGGATCAATAGTGCCAGTCTCCCTCAGTCACTGGTTCCTTGCTGAGGCTGGGAGCTGAGCTAGAGGCTCTGCCATGCTGCACAGTCTCATCTTCTCTCTTCCTGCCCTGGCACGGTCCTTTGCTCCCACTCTTCTTTCCCTGCCTGTGCTTCCTCTGATCCCTCACTTGGAGGCTTTCCTGTTACAGCTTGCAGGCTCTTGGGTCTTATTCTCTGCATTCGTGGGGCTTCCTCGGTATTGCTTCCAAAGAAAGCAAAACTGTGAACACTTATTTACATCATGTCTCAAGTGGACAGATAAAACGGATCACTATTACACCCAAATGGGAAGGTCTGAATAGATCCTAGATGGCAGAGATGGCTGTTAGAGAGAAGGACCTACCGTCCAGTTCCCGTAATTGTCACTTGGACTCCCCATGGTGTCACCATGAGTGGGAGGCTGCTAAGCCCAATGCCCCCAGCCTTGTAGGCATGTGTACATGTGTGTGCATGCATGTGCATTGCCCTCAGGTTGTATGTGGGAGATGAAAAAGAGAATAAAATGTAAACCTCTCAATATAGGCTCTGTTTTAGGGAATGGGATGGAACTTTGGGCTCAATAAATGCCTGATTCAGAAAAAAACGTACTTAGTTTTGAATTATAGATGTAGTTCTTCTCACTTTCATTCATCATGTATGCATGTTTCTGAATATTGTCCCCCACACCGTTAATATGCACACATTTTATTTGCCGATTTAACCCAATTAAAGGGAGTGAAGCTAAGCACAGCATCGCTTTCTTGATAAAGCTTGCTAAGGATGTAGTGTGCTCCGTGAGTTCCCTACTCATTCAGAATTCTCAGCTTGCCTTGAGGGGGGCTTTGGCCAAGTGGACCTTGGGCGTGGGGGGACGGAGCTTCTTCGGATGTGACTTATGTCTGTGTAGAAGCAGTTTCCCTCCTGTTCCTCAGCAAGCCTCTCACGCCAACCCTCACTATGTGTTTTAGGATCACCACCACAGCAGCATGCATGATGGACCTCAGGAGATACCCCCTGGATGAGCAGAACTGCACCCTGGAAATCGAAAGCTGTGCGTATCAGACTATGCCTTCCTTCTTCTTGCCTTTTGCGTTTGGTCATTTTTGCTGTTGTAAGTTAGCATCTCTGCTAAAGCATCCCCAGTGTTCAGCTCATCACTATCTTAAGATTAGGCTTGGGGAGGGGGCACCTCAAAGGTAGAATGCTTCCGTACCACACACAGGGTCCTGGGTATCTATCATTCCCAACACACACACAAAAACAATGTATTAGAGAATTAACTCTTGCCATTTTACTGCCAACACAAAGAGAGAGACAAGCAGAAGAATTGAAAGACAGGGGTGTGCACATGCATGCGTGTGTATGTGTGTGTGTGTGAGAGAGAGAGAGAGAGAAAGAGAGAGAGAGAGAGACTCAGTATAAAAATCGTCCTTCAATCTAATCTGATTAAGTAGTCTGATCTCTGTGCTGAAATGGGAGAAAACAAATGTTCCCCGTCTCAATTCGTTCCGCGGGAAGAGAGCGAACACCGAGATGCAATTTCCCTACAATCTGCTTCATCACGCTTGAGTGGCTGGGCGGCTGGGACCCTGGGCAGTCGGAGGGAAACTCATTTCCCGCCAGAATCACAGCCTTACAAGCTGGCCATTTCGGCACCTTGGCAATTTTCTTCAATTTGAGGGGTGTGCCGATGCCTTATTGATAATTCGGCGCTATGTGCCTCTATGGGCGAGTGGAAGCTGGATCACTGACATCTAATGAGGTGTGCCTCATGCCACCTGAAGGGCACCACCTATGGATCCTGACCTGTCACACACTGGCTTATTACTGGTCTCAACAAGTGTTTGTGTTGAGTCTTTCACCGATTGGTTTATTAGGAGTCTCAACGGGTGTTCTGCAGAGGTTTGCTTGCTTAAGTGAAGTTGCCCTGGTGGTGTCATAGAAGAGTATTTGTGGTGGGAGAGGGGATATGTGATGCTTCAGCACGTTGAAGGAGTGCACAGTGGGAGGCTGAAGTTGGCCATCTTGTTCCCTTTACTGCTAGAGGGCACCAGGGTCCATGCTTCCTGACAGCTGTGGATTTGAGGATTAGGAATATAAAATCACATCCAGCAATGCAGAGTGGAAGCCCCAAGGACATTGGCCATGGAGCTTAGGAGCCTCAGAGGAGAGATGGTAAATCCCTACAGCTCCTAGGATTGTCCTAGTCAGATAGCTTCTGTGCCGTGAGAGGCTAGAGTCTCAGCTGAGAAGGTGGGGATTTTAGAAAGTGACCGTGAGCTTTTGTGTAGGATGTAGGAAGCAGCTTTAGCTCCTGCCGGGAGCCACCTTCTTGGAGTGACTTCTGCTGCCATCCTAGGTGCAGCAGGTTCGCATGTTCCAGAGTAGGGACACAAGGGTTAAAAATTAGGTTGGAGCAACAGAGATAGAGAAGAAACACAGGAGGAAGATATATAAAACTAATCTATCTGATGCTCTCATAGTCCAGTACCTCAGCATTGACGGCTCCTGCAGTGGTCCTCACAACTGAGAACACTCTGTTGTCCCTCTGTGTAGACCACAGTGTGACACCTACTGCTAAGTACCTTCCTCCTGGCTTTAAGACCTAACAATCCCTTCCCTAATAAGACACCTGATTACACCACTCCTCTCCCTAAAGCGCTCAGCTGTTTTCTATGCAATGGGCAAAAGAAGCCAAACTTCTCACAAGGACCCCAGGAACTCACATATATGTTCCATGTTCCAACTTTTGTTACATTGCAGCATCTTCCGTCAGATCTGTGTTTTATTGGTCTAATTGAAAAGCCGAAGTGAATGTGCTGGTCTGTAATTCCAGCTCGAAGCAGATGGCATGGGACATTCTAACACTGGGTCATGAGACCTGACTCCAGGGGAAAACAGGGAGGATGGAAATAAGGGAAGGGGGAAAAGCGGTAACAGAGCATAGAAAGGGGAGGATGGAGGGAATATGAAGGGAAGGAGCAGGGAGGAGCAAGATGAAGAAAGAGAGGGGAAAATAAAAGAAACAACAAAAATAAAGAATGCACAGAAAGAGACGGAAATAAATAAATGTGTAATTGGCTGTGATCTCCTGGGAGACTCCCGGGAGGTTAGCTAAGACTACACTTTGTTTCCCATTGACTCGCTCAAATGCCGCCTGCATTTCACATGAACGTGAGCAGCGTCCCCAGAGCCGGGTGAGAGATACAGTCCTCATTGTCATCACCCATCACGAGGGTACCTGTGCCAGCGTAACTTGGCCAGGAGTCTCCCAGCAAACCGAATTTCTGAAGTGGGCAGGCACCGCGAGAGAGCTCTTGTCACCAGGCCATGATTGGGAGAGCGGGCCCTTAGTCTCTGTAACCACCCCTGAATCTTGGTACCTGCCTTCCCCCACCATCTTGTTCTTCACTGTAAAGATGTGCTTAAATCCTCAACTGGATTTTGTCCGGGTGTCTATGATTTCATGCTTTGCACTCAGAACTCTGGTCCCAAGCTCTCATCTCTCAGAACCCCAGTTATCTGCCTTTCAGGACCCTTCCTGGTACAAAGTAGACTGCCGAGGTAGCACACGAGTACACTGAAGCTAATTTATTCATGTTTCTCACGGGGATGCACGTTAAATATTTTTTAAATCTAACAGAGTAATTATTTCCTTTTAGCAAAGATAATTTCTTAGGCTATTCGTTGTTGTCACGTGACAGTGTCTCCTATCCACCGTGTCCCTGCTTCTCTCTTTTGGTAGATGGCTACACGACGGATGACATTGAGTTTTATTGGCGCGGCGGGGACAAGGCTGTCACCGGCGTGGAAAGGATCGAGCTCCCCCAGTTCTCTATCGTGGAGCACCGTCTGGTCTCCAGGAATGTTGTCTTCGCCACAGGTGACTCCTGTGTCCCCTCTTGGTCCCTTTAGGGTGCTGGCTGCACTGACAGTGTTGGTCTGCTCGCTGGCTTACATGTATTGTCAGGATTTAACCCTCCGACGAACTCCTTTAGCTTGAATATAAAAAGTACTAGTATGTGTGAAAAGGAGAAAGGACCACCTGAGAACAGGACATTCCCCAGGGTGTGCCGCGGAAGATATGACGGTGGGTGAGTAAGTACCTGGTCCCTGTGTGACGTGGAAGTTAGAGAAGAGGCTGTTGATGTCCTTGGAGAAAAGAACGGGGGTGATAGGTGATGTTCTCCCAGGAGCTGGTCACCTTCTCATCCTGGGCGCAGTTCAGTTTTGGTGATCCAGGACAACAGAGGTCCCTGCTGCCAACTCCACCCTTTATATGTGGTCTTCTCCAAATGCCTGTTGGTTAAGTTTACTATGGCCTGACATGATTCACTGACATTTTCCTCCAGCTATCCATAGCCAGAGAAGGTGACTTCTCTCTTCTTCTGTCTTGGCTTGCTGAGGTTTAATGAAGTCATTGTCACGTGTGTTTTATGGCTTTGGTGGCATCTCCGTTGCATCTTGGTTGCTTGCTCTGCATAATAGAGATGATAAATGACGGTATTTTGTAAACTATAAAGAATAGCCATGTCCACAAACAAGGTTAAAAAATGCGAAGAGAAAGAGAACTGTTCTCATATTTGAACAAAAATCAACAGCTATGAATCCATCTCAGGCCGTGATGGCCTTAAAGAAGCGGGCCACTTGCTGTCTGCCTGGTGCCCGTGGGTGATTGCTCCAGAACCACAGGCATCTGCTTCTCCTCTGCTAACTGGGTGTGGTTCATCTCACCTTCCTGCTGCTTTTCTCTGGGATGCCCTCTGCCCTGTTCTACTGCCGCAGCTACCCTGGCTGAGTTAGGTAGTTGCTGCACAACTCCCATGTTCCTTTCATCCCTACTCATGGTTTATTCTTCCCTTGGTAAGAATGTGCACCCCCAGTGGGACCAATCCTACTCACAGCATCCCCAGCCCCTCCCTCCTGGGCTTGCTCTCTGCCTGAGACGGGAGCATTTGTCGCTGACCACCTGTACAATGGCTCAACATTTGACCTGTATCTTCTCTCTCCAGCCTGGTTTCCATGAGTCAATGTGTTAGCAGACAGAAGCTTGAATTCTTAAGAAATCAGGTCCGTCTGCATACGGTGTTGCTTATCCATAGCCGGCAGATGTGTAAGACACACTTATGTGCTCGCTTTGGGTGGAGAGTGAGCAAGATCAGGATCTCTGGTAGCGTTAAGGGATTGTGTGCAGTGCACAATCAAGAAAATTGCTATGATGCATTGAAGAAAATTGGTAATTTGTAATGTATAAAATTGAAACTTCCCTATCCTGTGCTTCAAGCCGTATGTGCAAAAAGTCTGCTCAAAGTACACTGGTATGCCAATAGTATTCCCACAGCAAAGAGATCCTGCCCATGCCTGCGTTTGTCTACAAAGTTCCCTTTGTGACTGGACCATGCTTATATAAGAACCTCTTGCAATTTTCTCTCAGAAGCCCAGGGAAAGGTATGCACTGAGCAGCCCTTAGCCTGGCTCTGGACTGGCACTGATCTTTTGAGCACCAGTGTGTAGTGATGAGCGGCGTGGCTGCGTCCCGCCACCTAGCTAGCTTTACCCAAAATAATTACACGGAAAACTGCTTGGCCCATTAGTTTCAGCCTCTTAACCCATTTCTAATAATCTGTGTAGCCCCATGAGGTGTGGCTTACCAGGAAGATCTTAACCTGCGTCTGTGTCGGGTGGAAGAATCATGGTGACTGCCTGACTCGGCTTCTTTCTCCCAGCATTCTGTCTGTCTACTCTGCCTACCTAATTTTCTGTCCTATTAAAGGGCCAAGTCAGTCTCCTTATTTAACCAATGAAATCAACACAAAACAGAAGACTCTCCCCCATCACCTGTGTTTTTATTTGTTGAGAAAAGGAAGCATGCATGTCACAGTCTTCAAGCTGTGCATTGACTAGTGAGGACATCACAATGTGGTGCTGTCTTCCTTACGGCCTGACTTGAGTTCTGCATTCATTCGGTCCTACATTGGGCTTGATATCGGCTCTAAAGCCTCTCACTCCTAAAGAACTTGTACTTTTGAATGATACTGACTGAACCATACATGGAGAAATTGCATAACTCTCATTGTCTTAAAGATATTTTAAAAGCTAAATATGATCCCAATGTTTCCCTGTCCACTGGTGTCATGAATTAATGCAATTTCAATCAGTAATCTGATTCAAAAGGACTTTATCACCTAGAAACAAACTGTCTCACAAGGTGTAGGAGGAGGGCCTGCTTGTTTGTTGGCCACCCAGAACCGAAATAATCACACAGAAATTGTATTAATTAAACCACTGCTTGGCCCATTAGCTCTAACTTCTTATTGGCTAACACTTACATATTAATTTAACCCTTTTCTATTAATCTGTGTATCACCACGAGGTCATGGCCTACCAGCAAAGTTCCAGCATGTCTATCTCTGGTGGTGGATCCATGGTGTCTCCCTCTCTGCCTTGCTTTTTCCAGCATTCAGTTCTGTCCTATCAACAGGCCAAGGCAATTTCTCTATTCATTAAACAAGAAAAACAACACACAGACAGAAGGACCTCCCACATCAACAAGGGTTAGGAAAAGGCAAGGTCTCTGTCCACTTGAGAAGCAGCTTCAGTCACGCACAGTTGTTGAACTGAGAGAATACACTGCTTGGCAGGACACATTAACACGAATCATTTCTGCAGAAGAGATAATTAAATAAATATTTTGCATTGAAGAGATAACACAAAACTCAGAGACATTCTATGCTCAAGGATTGAAATGTCACATGTCAAAGAAAATATCATCCACACAAAACCTCGCTGTGCCTGAACGGCATGAGGACAGTACTGCTTCTAAGGCGAGCTGTGCTCTAGAGTCGCTGGAGAGTTCTGGAAGAGCAGCTGGTTTCATTAGTGACAAAACAACAAACAAACAAACAAGCAAACTGGCTTCAGTTCCACGCATGACCCTCGCGTTCTGAAGGGTGTTTAGAAAGGCATTTAGACAGGGGATTCAGGCTTCCCAGGGCAAACTCCCACCACAGTGGCCTTTGTGTGTCAGTCTTATGTCAGTGATGTCCCTGGAGCCCATACTTTAGAAATGTATTAGCTTATGCTAAAGTAGAAGAAAACTGGAAGCCGTTGATGTTGATTGGTATGGGGTCTGTGTTCAATCCCTCTCACTGCAAAGTAGACAAACAAATACATGAGAGAGCTGAAGGGGTGATGGTATAGGCAAATGGACATAGGGATACTCAAAGCACAGCTATGGTGATGCTCAAGACTCTTCATACATGCCAATCACGATGTACCTTGGGCACTTTTCCATCAGCAGTGTTTCTACACTCTCAACTTGGTTAGTTCCCAAATTTTTATGTTGTGGAGTTCTTCCATCAACGGTAGTTTGCTTTACAAAAAGTGCTGTACCGGGTATGAAATTGAGAGAACCGATAGCTACAGGACCATTGTGCACCATGCCTATCTGAGTCCTTTGCAACCAGTCTTGTACCAAAGACCATGCATTCTAGATGAGCTGGGCTACTAGGCAGGCTTTTAGGAACTGGTCCTGGGGTTGGAGGCCCCTGCATCCTAACCTGGGAACCTGGAATGTCTTAATCCAATACTCAGAAGACATCTAAGACAAGAAAAAAGTGGACATCCTACCCCTGAGCCCTCTTCTGCTCAGCTGCTGTGTTAGCCAGAGGCCGCCATATCCCTTAAGCCGTTGACCAACTCTGAAACTCCCCCCTCAGTCCCTGACTCACAGTGAGCTCTTCAGCTTAGCACTCAGAGCTTTTCTCTTACTGAATTTAATCCTCTTGCCTCCTACCATTCGTTCTTTGCTGCCCTTCAAACTTTTGCTCAGATTCTAGCCTCCCTTTGATATAGTTTTCTTTTCTGTCCTGAACCATGCAAACTCTACAGGGAGCGATTCTCCTGCCAATGCCGCTGCTCCTCTTCCTTGAGCGTCTCCTCTGGTTTCTTACTTCTTTTTTCTTTGGAAACCTTTGAGTCGCATCTGGTATCATTTCTTGTCATCTGTCCAGTGTTAATCCCACACTCCATCCGATGCTCCAGAAAAGTCTACTGAGTAAACATATTTGCTCTTAACCATGTACTCAGGATTTCAGGATTTCAACAATTTAACCAAGCGCCCAACATGGGCCCTCCCAGGAATAAGAAAAGAGAAGGGGAATTTTGTGCACTAAGCACTTGGTTAAGCAACTGGTTTCTTGAGGAAATTCTAGCCTGTTAGCTGTGCTCCTTCTTTGTTCTGAATTCTAATTCTGGTGAATGTGCTTATGATCATATTCAGGCGATTCCTTGTGCTTAGAACCAGTAATGTTAACTCAGATCTGGAAATCTGAATCGGTTTTTTTTTTTCTAAGAAAGCACAAAAGCATGGGAAGGAGAGATAGACCCGTAAGAACAGTGTAGGACAAGCTGAGACGGGAGTGGTTTATCTCATGTCTGTACCTGGGCTAGGCTTAAGATCGTCTCCAGCAGCTACTCCACATGAGCACATCCTTGTGGCCAGCAGACCTCGGTCCACCTCTGTGAGACTCGTGAATGTTTTGATGAAATTCCAGGAAACAGGTACAAAACACACATGTCTAGAGTTTTGTGATTCCTTCGGTCAAGATCTGTACTCTAAACAAACCTGGGGAGTGTGGTAAGTTCTTAATCTCCTGAACTTCACTTTTGAACCCTCTCACTTGGCAAGTGAATCTGGTCACGTCCCTCGGAAAAAAAATATTTTATAAGGTAAATATTTATAACCGCTGGATGAACTCAGATAAGACCCTTGATCTCTGCAGGAGCAGCAATAAAAAAAATTTTCATTATTGTACCTAGTTTCTGTTTAGTTAAATATAGTAAGTTTAAATGTTACTGAAATATTTTGGATGTACCAAAAAT